AGTATGGCCACGCAGAAAAGAAAGTCGTTGTCTATTCAACAAAAACTAGAAATTTTGGAGACCTACGATCAAAATGTCGGCAGTCAGAAATTGCCAATCAGATGGGAATTGCACCGAGTACTCTGAGGACTATTTTGTCCAATAGAGAAAAAATCGAGGAGAAGGCCAGTCAGTCCAAATTCACCTCGGCAAGGAAACGGTTTCGAACCGCGAAATACTAAGATGTTGAGGCTGCTCTACTGACTTGGATGCAGCAAGCAAGAGCCAACAACATACCAGTCAGTGGCCCAATGTTGCATGCCAAAGCTGTCTCCCTCGCACAGTAGTTAGGCTATAGTGAGGAAGATTTCAAATGTTCGAGTGGCTGGCTTTCAAGATTTAAAGATCGTCATGGGATCGTATTCCGCCAGGTATGTGGAGAGGCTGCAGCGGTCAAAGAAGACTCTGTGGACCCATGGCTTGCCCAAACACTTCCCGAAATCCTCACCAAATACAAGCCGTGCGACATCTACAACGCAGATGAAACTGGCCTGTACTGGCGCCTCCTCCCTGATCGCACTCTTGCCGAAAAGGGTGAAACATGCACTGGTGGGAAGAAGAGCAAAGAAAGAGTCACAGTTCTGGTTGCAGGAAACATGGATGGCTCCGATAAATGCGTCATCGGTAAATGCGCTAAACCAAGATGTTTCAAGAATGGCAGACACTTGCCCTTTAAGTACACAAATCAAAAACAAGCCTGGGTGACATCAAGTCAGTTCACATCATGGCTTGTTAAGCTGGACAAACGTTTCCGGAAGAAAAACCGAAAAATTTGCATGATCGTTGACAACTGTTCTGCCCATCCGCCAGTAGGCGGCCTGAAGAACATAACGTTAAAGTTTCTTCCACCGAACACAACTGCAAAACTCCAACCATGTGACCAAGGCATCATCCAGAATTTGAAGAGCTTCTACCGTCGCCGTCTCTTGGAGAAACTCATAAACCTGTGGTTTAAGTTATGCTTTGTTTTGTGCAAAAAGCTGCTCAGCTGAAAGTTTATTAGCAGTCAGCTTGCACCCATTTGATGAAATGTTATTTAAATTTCAACATTTTTATACTTTGCAGTTTTTTAATCTGAAAACGTTGCTTTGTTGCTGCAGATGTTGTCATTCAAGAGGTCAGAAATGGGACAAAGTGCATTGAAGGTTGGTGAAGAGTTGTAATTTTATTTTGATGAAATATTTCACGATGTTCTTTCAATAAAACTATTTACTATTTAAATTCTAAGTTAAAACCAAGTAGGGACTACACAAGCTTGTAATTAATTTTGGAATTTCTGGGGAAAAAAGTAACAGGGTAATGCTGATTGGGACGAGACTCCATCCATGTCGTCTCTACTGGCATCTATGTTGAAGAGAAAATGCCCTCCAGAATGCCTTGGTCCGAGTGCAGTTTCTGAGGAATCTTCACAGCTAAAAAGATAAATCTATGGTGCCGGTCATGCATGATTACATATTTATGACACTTAAAGTAGCCGTGAGACATCTTGGAACTTATATGAAGAACAGAGGAAGGCTGTTAAAGTGAACGACTGTGTCTTCGTGGAAAGGAAGCTATTCGAGCTTCATTGCAACCTTGCCAACCATTCATGGGCAAGCTTCTCTGGGTTCCCAGAATCCTATAATGGAACCTTCAACCTGACTAGACAGACAAAGTGGAAAAGGCTATTATAAGTTTAAAATTAAACAAACAACCAGATCATGATGGCATTAGGTCAGAATTTTTTTTTTCATTGGGCAACAGATATTTTACTAGCTAATCAAACAGGTTTTAAATCAGGTTATAGTACAATAAACAATATGTTCGTTCTGAACACGTTAGTACAAAAGTTTCGCAGTCAAAAGAAGAAATTATGTGTCTGTTTTGTTGATTTTAAAAAAGCATTTGATTATGTTGATCATACATTATTGTGGTGGAAATTAATGAATTTTGGTCTCAGTACAAAATCCCTCACCATTTTGAAAAGAAGGTACAAATCTGTTAATAGTTGTGTGTAGTTTGCATGTGTATGGTCTTACTCAATTTTTTCAATGTAGGATGAGTGTTCAGCAAGTACAGTATTAAGCCCACTGAGCTAGTAAGAGCCCCTTTTCATGGTGATATGATTATTTTTTTGTCTGACACAAATGGGGGACTTCATTCAATTGCTGATTAAGAGATTTGAGTCTTTTTGTAATACGTGGAGACTGATTGTAAATGTTAAACTAGAAACGTGTTTGTGGACAAACACAAGCTGTTTCGACTGTTACATTATTTGACAAGGACATGAGATTATGACGACTATTACTCATAGTGCATGCAAAGTTTAAACCAAATCGGACGAATAGTTGCGGAGATAAAGGGCTTTAAAAGATGCAAGGTTAGGGCGCCCTCACATGACGACCACAGAAGTGATACTGTCGCCACCGATATTTTCACATTAACACTTCCAAATATGAGGGCATTCAAAGTTTTAAAACGCAATGGGACCTTGTTGGTGTTTTGTCAGGGTAGCATCGGTCGAGGAGCTAGCAGCCGCAACTGTAGGGGCGCGTGTGCATTTGTGTTGGTTTTTTTACCAACCCTGATTGTGAGGAATACGCAAGAGATCTTGATTGAATATAGAGAGCGTACTGCGCATGCGCATTTTGAAGGCTTGACGCCGCGCCCTATATGAGTAGTTTTTCAAGACTTTGTGATGCCTGTACGATGGAGTTTAGAAGTCTCGTCGTTTGCAACAAGAAACCTGTTTCTGGTGTTGTAAAGAGACGAGAGAGGTACGTAAATTGAATATGAGATGTTTTATGTGATGTAATATGTGGAACAAGTAATTGTACAAAAAGAAACGATTTCAAATAGACAGCAGTGCGGCGTGCTTTAAATACATTAATAATTGCATGCAGGCCTAATTTAAATGTACTAATATACATGGTGGGCCCTACATATTGTAGGGGTTAAGATTGCGCAAGGTACGGTGGGATCTAACCATAGACATATTATAAGTTATCACACAAGCGCGAGTGGAATACGGAAAAATATAGCGCTTCTGCGTGATTTCTCCAATAATGGAGGGGCCTTCATCGAGGAGGAAAGATTTTTTGCTGAGTGATGTCCACACACCAAGTACCATTAGATGTAAACTCTGGGGGCCACACGCGGATCAGGAGCTAGAGAGTGGTACTTTGACCACTGTCAGCCACCTCTTGCAACCCTGTGATGTCTCAGGCTAGTAATCACCTGTCATCTAAGCCTCAGTACTGATAGTCAACTCTTGGACCACTGTGATGTCACAGACTACTAATCACCTGTTATCCAAACCCGAGTTCTGTCAGCTACCTCTTCCATGAGTGTGATGATAAAGGCTGCTAATCAATTGTCCAACAAGCCTAATTACTGTGAGCCACCCCTTGTATAAGGCTACTAATTTGTAATCCATATTGGAATACTTACTTCCATACAATGAGCCCAAACTCATTATTTTCTGTCTCATGAGGACCGGCAAGGGTCCTCACGAGGACTGTGTTTTCACCTGGGTGGCCAGAGTTCAAGGAGTGGGGACACACTCCGGCTGGCCACAGAAAAAGTGAAGAGCAGGAGTCCTCACGAGGAGCAGGGGGTTGGCAAAAGCACCAGTTACAGCCTCATGAGGTGAGGAGCTTTGCAACCAAGAGCCCCTCACAAGGGATCCACATATAAAGAGAGTCCTCACGAGGACCTGGTGAAACCAACCAATGCCTCATGAGGGACCGTCATGAGGGACCGGCGGTTGTATGGCAAAGAACAGTATGCTGATAGGTTATAAGGCTCCTTACGGCCACATGGGAAGGCGCCATGGGAGGAATACCGGCAACATTTTGAAGCATGTTGCCGAGTGAATGAGTGTACGGAGGCGCAAGGGCACTACTATCTAAGGGCAAGTCTACAAGGTGGTGCATTAGGGGTTCTAGGCAGTAGTGGTGAGCCACACTTAAGTTGTAGGGAATTGCTAAATTTGTTAGGTCGTAGGTTCAGGCCAGGGGATCAGGCTGAAAACTACCTACTGAAATTACAAAACCGTAGCCAGCAGCCGAAGGACATGAAGGAAACCTTGCAGGAATTAAAACAAGCGATCAGAAATTTGGCTTATTATGCAGATCCAGATATACCCAGGGAAAGCCGAGACCGGCTCGCCAGAAACCACTTTGCGGACGCTATTGAGATCCGTGCGGGGTATGTTCAGTATGGTGGCGAGGGGAGGCATCTGGATGTTAACCCCCCCCCCCCCACACTCCAAAAAAATTCAATCCCATCACATTGGAAGAAATAAAGAAGAAAGGGAACACCCCAGGGCCATACCTTTAAATCTCAAATCTATGCAACTTAAAAAATACTAAATAAGAACCAATTAGAAAATGTAAGCAAATATCTCAGACCATTTTCTTTGAATGAAATCACCTACTCTTAGGAGCAAACAATATAAATGCATGCATGTATTTTGTACACACTAACCAGTGGTTTGTGTGTATGAAACCACCAAAAAACTTAATTGCACAAAGCCCAAATGATCGCATTGTACCTATACTGCACCTCAGTTAGCAAATTTAGACAGCTGTTCATAATCTCTTTTAAACTTTACGTATAAATATCTTCTATGCACACATGTGGGGCAAGCATAATGTGACCGTCTTAAAATGTTACCAGCCTATCGGACACGCACATATCAGGCATGCAACTAGGAATTTGGCAAAAACGAGGAAACTCCAAAGCACACAAGAGTTTATACAGTGTTTTTCAATTTGTAATGGCATTCCTGAAAAGTAAAAAACGAGGAAATCAGTTGGATACGAGGAAAAGTTGCATGCCTGACATATTTATCAATTAAAATTTACAGCACAGAAATTCAATTTTTTTTTTTAAAACGCCTGCCCTACCGGAGCCTCAAAGACACCCCAATGAAAGCAAATAAGCATCACCCAACTCGCTTCACTGGGCGCGGTTTTGCCGACTGTTTGCACTCTTTGAGGAGGTACTGACACGTTTTGTTAAATGGTGAAAAATAAACCTCAGACCAAGGGATCAAAACATTTATCTGAATGTTTAACAGCAGAGATGGTGCAAAACATTTCATAGCAAAATCTTGCTGTTTAAATACAAATGACTACAATTATTAGACTGTTTTGTAATCCCTAAAGCAAAGAGTTAGTTCTATTGGGAACTATGCTTAACCCTAACCACCCCAACTCCATCAAAATCCATCCCCCCATTTTGGTGGATTTTGGGGGACATGGTCCAGGAGGCCTTGCGAGACTAAATATTAAAGGGAGAATGATGGACTTGGGCCTGATGGCCTGAAGCAGTGCTAGGGGTATCCAATTGATTTTGCCAAGCTTCCTGTACTGCTATTGTGGTAAAAGCCATGTGTAGCAAGTCCGTGAATGTCAACCAGTGCATCAGTGGTGGATTCCATTATGTCATGTACAGTTTTGTATTGGAAGCACAGTGATTGATGGATTTTGATGGACTTGGTCCAGTTCCAAGTAAAATACGCTAGGGAGTTAGGGTTAATCACGGTTAGAGTGCTCTTCATCCAAAGCACACTAGTCAACAATGGTTGGACTAGTCTAGTACACCATCCGGGACCAGCCTACTGAGGTTAGTGACATCATTGGTTACCAATCCCTCAGCACAATATATATAGCAGGGAGCCAGGACATTCAGCCATCTTTAGACCAGAGATACCTGCACATTTATCAAAACTTGCTCAAAGCTCGTGGCAGCGACATTTATGATTCTGCTGATTACAGCAAGGAATGTACTTATCGTTTTGACTGTAGTCCGCTTCTGTTGTGTTATCCCTTGCGAGGTCGGCTCGGAATGCCTCCAGGCTCCTCTCTATGGCGGTGAGGGCGCTGTTGTACTCTTCACTGTGCGGGTCCAAGGGGGAGCCCTCTTGTGGGTCAGTCTGCAGGTTGAAGACGAGGGGAGGGTCGTGTCTCTGGATGGGGCCGGTCAGACCACCGCACTGCTCTTCTCCGCCTAAACCAGAACAGACAAGAGCACCATGTGAAGTGGATGTATTGAATGTTAAAGCTATTTGAGTCCATCATTTGCAGCTATTCGAAAAGTAACTGGCGTAATTATTGTTGAAAAACGTACTTGGTTGACAGATAGTAAGGGACTAAACCCCCTGTGAAATTATTCTTTCTGGCAAGCTGTCATTTTGAAGCAATCAACGAAAGAATGCCTTTCCAGCAATGCTTCTTAAGACGCACTGTAGGAAATTTAAATTAGTCATTCGTTTTGTTACTCGAAGCGCACGCCAAGCATTTGCATGACGCACACGCAGTTGCTATAATTCGTCGATTCAGTGCGCGACATCGCAGAGCTGCAATTGGCTCAGTGAGAACGTGTCTCAGATGCTGAATTCAGGCCCAATTAAAACATGATTCAGCAACTTTTGATTTGAATTGGAGATCCTAGAATGCTGTTTTTCTCGGAATATACAGTTGAAGCTGAGCTGAAACTTCATCAGGTTAGTTGTTCAGTACCGTTCTTTAGATTTTGAGCACTTTTGTAACTTTAAACGAACAAAATGCACAAATTACAAATGATGGACTATATCTCTAACTCTGCCAGACACAACACAGTGCATCAGGTGTTAACGTCTGTGGGACCTTGCAGCATTGAGCCATGAACACCAGTGCATAAAGGCCAATTCTGAGACAATGACACAGTCTCATTGAGAGCTGTGTCCTGCCACAGTTGGTGACCACAGACTCTGAGGCCAGTTTGGCCTTGAGATTTTTTCCTGGACAGACCTTGCTACACTGAGCAGGCTCATCATTTTTGCAAATGTTGTGTGTTGCTGCATTCAGCAGAATTGCTAGCCAGAAGAGCCTGGTAGGGTTAGGTTTAAGTTACACCCATGACCCACTGACATTTTTGTAACGGATCTTCCAGATCATGCAAAATCCACCACTCTGTAGAAAATTTAAGGCACGATCTTGATACTTTCTACTAATCCAGTAGATTCACAGAATAATAATTTGGATGTACTTTCCAAAATCCCCCCAAATCCTCCAAATCATCTCAGTGAATTTTGATGCGTTAGGATCAATGTTCATAACCTAAAACCAATCCTGGATCTGAACTATAGTACCTACTAATAAACAAAATATAGATCAGAGCTGTGCATAAATTTCACTATGGTATTTAGTATACATCCATGTAAAAAGTGAACTACAACAGCAACAATCTGTTGTCTTTCTTTGGCGAATGTTGCCATTGAGTGAGTTTTTAAGTAACCCAACATTTTTAGTCAAACAAAGTTTTAAATCTTAACACTTTCAAATCCCTTTTCACGCCGCTTAAATACACCAGATCTAAGCTACTTTGTAAGTTTTATATTTGTATGTGTTTAATTATGGATTTCTACCTGGTTGTTATTCATAAGATGGAAATTGCATCGACGTGATCTCAATTCAATATAAGGTGGTTTTGTTTTGCCCTTCACCGACGTATACATACACTCAGTGTGTAACCCTCAGAGTGTAAGTTAGAAAAAAAAACACTTGGGTGGGACTTGAACCCACGAACTCCTGCACTAGAAAACAGAAGGTCGTGGGTTCGAATCCTACCAGAAGGATGTTTTCTTATTTGCACTCGAGAGGTAACACACCGAGTATACATTAATTCTACGTCAGTGAAGGGCAAAAAAACTCACACAAACAGGCATGCAACTGGAACTTAGGAAAAAAAGAGGAAACTCCAAACCACACAAGACTTTGTACAGTGTTTTTCAATTTGTAATGGTATTCATGAGAAGTAAAAAACGAGGAAATCAGCGGATCCAAGGAAAAGTTGCATGCCTGCACAAAACAACCTAATACCTAGTTGTTATTTTCGGTACGCATACCTGTCTGATATACAGCCTTGTATGCACCATGACGCACGGCATCAATAGCTCCAGCCACACGCGCTTTAACGTTGGTTGGATGGAAAAGGGTCTACAGGCAAAAACAGACAAAACAATGGAAAAGGTACATACACTAATTTTGAATATAAAGTTTAACATCAATTTTAAAAGTATAAATCCATTTTTTTTGTGGTCGGACTTACATGTAAGAGACTTTAGTACATGGAAGTTGAAGTTTGTTGGGTTTTCTTTTGGCTTCATCCTTTGTGCATGTGCTCTTGCAACCATTGAAAGGAAACCAATTTCGTCAAGTTGCTTTCAATTCATCGAAATGAACCATTTTAACCCAATTAATCAAATAAAATGCAAGACACAAACATGACAGTAACCCAGCTCCAATTCGAAATAAATAAATAAATTTAAAGGGCTTAACATGTTGACTCCCAGCAGAAGCTGAATTGCGAAGGACGCAGCTACAGCGTGGTCGAGCCAGAGGCATGTCAAGGTGCCTGAGGCAGCTGCCATATGACCCATGTCTTAGTACAGAGCACAGCCAGATCGAAAGTGTTGCTTTTTGCAGGAGGGAGAAAACCCAGAGATAAACCCTCGTGGCACATGAGAGAATCAACTAGCAACTCTACTCACTCGTGACCCGAGCCGGGAATCGAACCCCGGCCAGCGGTGAGAGGCCAGCGATTTACACACTGCGCCATTCATGCCACCCAAATACTGTAAAATGTGAACAATTTACTGAGTAACTTCATTAGCAACAAAGAGCAAAAAGGGGAAACTAGATAGTTGCAATGTACTTTGACAGAGCTTACCCTGTTGTGCAAGTCTTTTCCAAACAGCACCTCTTTGACATCCATGCCATCGTAGCTACGATCCTTGGGCATCAGGATCCCAGCAATAGAGGCGATGGTTGGAAAGATGTCCAAGGCACTCAATAAAGAATCTGAGACGCGACCGGCTGGTACGCGACCTGGCCAATAGGCAAAGGCTGGCTCGCGATGGCCCCCTTCCCATACAGTCTGCTTCCCTGTGCTTCCTCCACCACCTATGGATAAAAACAAGGAACGGAGTAAGGAATCCGAGAAGAGACAGATTGGTAAGCAACCTGACCACCAGGTAAAGGCTGGCCTGCGATGACCTCCTTCCCATACAGTCATCTTCCATGTGCTCCTCCACCAAATGTGAAGAAAATGAGACTTAGCACACCTAGTAAAACTGTCCAAAACCAGTTCGCCACCAAGTTTCCCAGTGCATTGTGGGAGACGGTCAACATATTCGCAGTGCGGGACATTTGAAATTGTTCGTTTCTCTGGTCAGTAGTTTTGTAAGCCTATGATTCTAATACCTGTTTGCCCTTTTCTTTTCTTATTATCAATATGGTGTTTTCGTAAGGTGGCAAAACGCTATGCTCCAACCTGTAACGATCAAGCTCTCTACTGACCCTCATTCAAATGTGTCATGTTTTGTTGACCGTAAACTTTGAACATCTCCATGGCGAACTCTTGGTGGCGCACAGCATTGTGAATTGCCCCAATTGGCTCTAAGGTCGAGAGTCTACATTTTTTGAAAGGGTCTCTGAACTAGTAATTCATCTCAGTCTAATTTTTGGACCAAGGTGAGTTTTGTCACCAATTCCACAGAAAGTGGACATGGCTGAAAAGTGGAAAATGTATGAAATCTTCTGAACTACCAGCATCACAAACTCAAAAGGGGTATCAAATTTAATAAAGAGACTAGAAGACCTTCCAATTGAGTTGTATGCCACTCTCCAAGGTGTTTGACAGACACATCAAATTAAAGCTTATTTTATAATCTTTTATTTTCTGTTCAATTTTTGGGGGTTAACCAAGTACTTTTAGGAGAAAAATTGGATATTGACCGTGACAAGTACCGCACAGCATGCAAGTTACAGATAAAACAATGTTCATGTATATGTACTGTACGATCGATCGAGCATGCTAGACATCCAAAATGGCGGATCATGCAACAGTCACATGATATCGTCAAGAGGATGCAAAACCTCTATGCATATTAACTACGCATACTAATTACCTTTCTGTTTCTGCCATAATCCATGGAATGGTCCGTTGTCTCCAGCGTACTCGCATTTTTGTTCCCACGGACCATTGTCACCTGCGAGTAAATGTATATCGCGAGATAAACATGACAAATTAAAAACCAGCTCTGCACAGATCATTTAAAAAAAAAACACTTTCATTTCCAGTCATTCAAAAACATTGAAAAGGATGGCAGGCTTCAGTATCACAAGAATCATTCAAATCATTCACATACTTTTCAAGTTACGGAATTTTAAACACAACCACCATTTAAGTCCACAGATCACAAAAAGGTAAGTGTTCTTTCAGCAAAACGAAAACAAACCACATAGGGATATGTGTGAATTGTTTTGTTTTGCTGAAAGAACGCACACCTTTTTTGAGATCCGTGGAGAGAACTTTAAAATGGTGTTTGTGTTTAAAATTCCGTAACTTGAAAAGTACATGAGTGATTTGAATGATTCTTGTACTGAAACAAAAGCTTGTGAATTGGGCCTTCATATCCTAGATTTTGAAAGTGCTACATGTAGAACTGACATTTGGGTTTCGTTTGTTTTTTTTACTCGCCCTGCAAAGATGAATGAAATCGGTTTGGGGAATTTTTTGATACTTGAGAAATCTGAGAAATTCCCTGCGTAGTTCACATGCGCGCTTATTAGCTTGAAGATAGCATGGGTGAGGTATGCTCAGAATTCCTCAGGTCTGATGTGCCCAACTTCCCAAGGCTAGACTTGATTGATCGTTTTAATCGCGCCTTTACCACAGGGGTTTAACCACACTTGCCAAGGACTGACCAGTAGCATAAGGGTAAAACCAATTCATGTCTTGAACGAAGACTACCAACCTGTAAACCACAGCAGTGTATTGGACTCGATGCCAGCAATGCGTATCTCTGTCGCGATGCCCTGAATTATGTAATCCAGCTCTCGTAAGGTGTTCCCGAAAGGACCCCTCGCAGAACTGTTGGCAAACTTGGGGTCATACTGCAGAGGTACGTGCGTATGGGCAAAGGCGACATACAGCAAGAATGGTGCTACGGCTTGTACACTGTGCATGGGAGAGATGATTGGATTAACCCCAACGTACCTGAATCCATCAAAATCCACACCCCTTATTCAGGGGATTTCGGCGGATTCAGGATACCTCCATATTGCACAAACTGGGGGATTTTGATGGATTCAGGATTGTAAGCCTAGCAGAACTGCAGGATTTTGATGGATTCGGGATACCTCCATATTGAGCTGTTGGGGGACTTCGATGGATTCAGGATCTCAATAGATTTACTCCCGCCTAACTGGTGGATTCTGATAGACTCACTGGCCACCATTATTTTTTTTGCATGTTAAAATTGATGGATTTTGGCGGACTCAGGATACTTTGTAGTCATAGAGCCGAAGGGGTTAGGGTTAAAGCAGAAAGTCAATGCACATGAGACATGAAACGAGGCCCCCTTCAATGGGAACTCATTGTGCATGCTGTTGTACAAAGCAACTGCCCCGTGACATATTGTCTGAACAACAGCTAGCACAATGCTTTCGACTCTAGCAAGGGGCCTTCATGATAGAACTGACTGTGTGCCCGGATTGGTATATATAGCATGTACTAATAAATGAGACTTGAAAACACCAAACAGGTACAAGAACACCTCGATTTGACAGCAGATAAGACGTACTGCCAAAACGCAATAGACCAAGTCTTTTAAAGGGAATGTACATCATTGGCTTTTGTTGTAGATTTCAGAAATGAACTATTTGAGGGGTTAATATAATAGATCAAATATTGTAACACTAACATATTTGAAGTTTTGTGTTCGAAAATGCCGGAAAAACCAAGAAAAACTCAAATGTTCAGGCAGTCTGGTTCCCTGACTCCACTAAAGATGAAATAGATCAATATTTATAGATGCCGAAAATTGTAAGGTATAGGGGACATGTCTAGCCTGCCTGCACCCGTTCATGGACATGTTACCAATAGCAAACTAAATTTGGACTGAAAACATGGTAAATTTGGATCAGAAGTTGAAAAATAGTTAGGTTTTTCCAACGGTGGTCGGCCGACCATCGTTGGAAATGTATACAAAAATACTATTTTCTTGAAAATGACTTCACACCAGGTGCCATAAATTTACAGGATGCTTTAGACTCTCATTTACCAACATCCTACTAAAGTATTTCGTAAAAACTTGGTAGTTTTATTTTTCAAATGTTGTATATTCCTTTTAAACATCTGATAAATTATCCCGACCCTCCTTGATTCCTTCCAATACTTTTAACAGCCAAGCTTTTTAGAGGATTTTGCAGACGGCCCCCTGTTACTCAACATGTGGGTTAACGCCCCTTAAATTTTGAAGCACAAGGAATCCATTGATTTGTGCCACAATGGGTTTTAGAAGATTCAGAACATTTCCTAGCAAAAATTCCCAACCCTTAGAAATATTGATAACCAATAAACATCTTGATAACAACAAACGTTTCTAAAACAAGTTTGTTTTTAGTCTTATTCATAAATAAGAAACTTCATAAATACCTAAGACAGTTTACCCATTCCCATTGGTCGAGAGCCCATCACGTGGCTGGTCTTAAACGAATGATAAAGACATGGCTTGCTGGTCTTAAACACTTTTCCAGTGTTCGGCAAGGGTAATTATCAGCATCCAGACTCCAACCAGTCTTAAACATAGTGTTCAACACCTCCACAGCACACATTTATTCCCTTTACTTAAGATTTCACAATTTTATGAATAGTAAAGATGTTTTCAATTACTTGGCCTGAATCCCAGGGGGAAAAGGGTCATAAAACCTGTCAATTATTCTACTCCCTTAACTCCTTTATCCCCCTTCATCAACCAACAGTTTACATGTTTAAGCTCCTTACCTTTGTCTAATGAAGATCCTCGCATGCTCATAATAGCTCCCTCCGAGAGTTACGAGGTTGGCTGGCTGCTCCTTAATGCTACTGTTCCCGAAGAGTGGCACGGCAACTTTATTGTAACACACTAGAAAGTAATCAACAGAAATAAAAACACATTTATCTGAGTAGAGCTATCTATGAACCATGGCAGGAATGGTCTGTATGTAGTCAAGTCCATCACAAGTCTATCGCAAGTCCATCACAACTCAATCACAAATCCATCACAACTCAGTCACAAGTCGATCACAGTCCATCAAAAGTCCATAACAAGTCCATCACGAGTCCATCGCAAGTCCAACACAAGTCCACACAAGTCCATCACAAGTCCATCACAAGTCCATCACAAGTCCATCACAGGCTTATCAAAAATACATAGTATTGCATGTTCAACTTGCTCAGGAAAGTTAGAACAGGGAGCATACATAACATCTGGGAGTTACAGTGAATGTTTTACTTCCCTTAAACATTGGCACACTGACCAATGAGAGAGTTGCATTTGAATCATAAATATGCATGAGGTGTAACAATTGAATCTACTTAACAATGCCATTGTCACTGCGACAGTTTGAACAAGACAGACAACAATAGAACACTGACATACAATGAGAGAGTAGTATTTGACTCATAAATATTCATGAGATGTGTAACAATTGACTCTACTTACCATTGCCACTGTCACTGCTACAGTTTGAACATGACAGACAACAACACTGACCAATGAGAGAGTTGTATTTGCCTGGTAAATATTCATGAGATGAAATAATTGTATCTACTTACCATGGTGGTCGTCACTGCTACAGTTTGCACATGACGGGCATGGAGGTATATTGTATCCTGGATCATCCACACAACCAATATCGTTGCTCTCAATCAGGCCATAATAAGAATCAAATCCTGTTGCGAGAACATTTTAAGTTAAGAGAATTATTCCAAGTCTCAAACAGCAATTGGGAAATTATATCAACACAGGCCGCATCAGAACTATGGATAATTTTGTGCTAATGCTTTGAAACTGAGATAGTGCAAAGGAAATTTGTCAAAGTTCTAAAAATGCAACAGTGAATTTATTTGTGTGTCACACACACAGTTGTCTCAATGCTTTGTTACATGTGGTGGTATAAAAAGAATGAATATTTGTGAGTCCAATGCCAAGAATAATTGAGGTGATAGATTGAATGTTCACCTCACAGAATGATCTGTCATGCATGAAATTATTCTTTCCATAAGGCGAAGTAAAAAAAAAAAAACATGTTTCTCGTCTCCGCCCGCTTCCTATTTGGAGGCCGCCTGGATTTTTTTATTATTTTTTATTTTTGAAAAAGTAGTAAAAAAACAGCGAAAAAGTCCACAAATTCATCGGAAAAATAAATACCAATACACCAATACAACTCTAAATGACACTGTAAATATGTTCAGTTCTCTTGTCCAACTTGTCTTTCATTTTTAAAAGTGTCTGTGAACAGTGGAACACCAACGGTTGCAGGAAATGTTAAAATGGCGGCCATCTTGAAAAAAAAATTAAAATAAAAAGAGCCCCGCTTCCTCCCTTTTTAAAAAAAAACCCGGACGAGAAACATGTTTTGTTTTTTTATTCGGCCTAACACCAATGTCAAACATTCATTATTTGTTTTACACAACACCTGAATAAATCCTCATCATCTGATTGGTCAGAGTCGTCAAAATCAAAAGTGTGACCCTGCAATGGAACTTGGAACGGATCTTCTCATTTTTGTCATGGAGCAACCGTGCATGATCCACCAATTAGATGGAGATTTATTCATGCATTGTATAATTTTGAGATGCCAAGCATTTAGGCAGTTACCCTAAGTAATACATACCTCTTCTATTTGGATGGAACGGCCCACGATGCCCCAAATGCCATTTGCCAATCAACCCAGTCTGGTACCCCGCGGCCTTGAATGTCTCCGCGAATGTGGTCTCATTGAGAGGCAGACCCCCTGCGGAGGAGAGGGAGAAATTCTTGACCACACCGGTCCTCTTGCCCAGTCTGCCCGTCATGAGTGCGGCGCGGGACGGCGTACATACGGACGCACCGGCATGAAAGTCAGTGAACCTGCGAGGGAAATAGTTAACCAGTTAATGCTTAAGGACATGAAAATGCGTTCCGGCAATGCACATCTGCAGGGGCGGGTGACAAATCAAATTGCCAAGCCCCCCCCCCCCAGTCTTCCGCAGTGGACGGGTATACACATTGTTTGCCCCGTTGGTTTTGTACACTGTGTGTTGAACTTGACCTTGGCCCACTCTACACTGCCTGTTGTCTAGCAAAAATTGCTTCATGGAGGGGCCTCAGAGTGTTGTAAAATATGAATTTTCAGTGAGAAGTATTGTACAAATATTGTACAAATGACTCTCAAGGGTCAGTATTTATGGTTCGACCTGTTTTAAAAATTGGGCTGATATATTTTTTTTTTTGTCAAAAAGGATATTTTTTTTGGCCAGAAATAATCCAGCCCTCATCCAGCCCTCAAGTAGTTAAAGGCAAATATATCAGTTACAAGCGGGATGAGTGAAGATTTCCTTTAACCCTAATCCTGCAAGATCCAAAACAGTGCATCAGGTGTCAAAGTCTGTGGGACCTTGCTGCACTGAGCCATCAACACAAGCACATATACAATCTACTCTGAAAGTGAAACAATGAGAGCTAGTCCCTTGAAAGGTACTACAGTTGCAGTTGGTGACCACAAATACTGTGGCTGTTTGACTAACTTAGTTTGCTTAAAAGTTCTTTTTGTTTTCAATTCTCAGCATAGTTTTGATGCAGGATACAATGTATATTTACCTTGTGCCACGTGATGCCAGCATGTCCATGAATGGTGTATCTGACTGTGCAGAGGACTGCTGATTGGCACCAAGGTCTCCATACCCGATGTCATCAGCGAACAGAATCACAAAATTGGGTCTCCTGTCAACAGCTGCCTTGTCTTCTATGGTTAAAAAAAAGGTCAACATTAATAACTTTAAATATTTAATATAGGATTTTGCTTTTAATTTAAACAGTTTTTTTGTGAGTCAAAGTTTTCAATACAACTACAAGGATCACATACATAAACCATTTGTAAACCACGATGCAGTGGCATATACAGTAATAGAACAAGGGGTGGTATCGATGTTATACAAAAGTAGCACGGCCAGTTTTATTGGGGAGGGGGTAGGGTACTTGCACATCCATGCTAATTATGCACACTCACAGACAATACATGTAGGGCCTATATGGTGGTTTTCAGGGCGATGCATGCGCAAAATTTTAAACAGATATATTTTTAATTAGGTGAGGCAAGTTTTAATCACTTTTGATGGTCGATTGTATCGATTGCCATAAAAAACAAAATCAAATCTGTAGCAGTTGATTTTATATTGATTTTCAAAGATTAAATCTAGAAATGTTTGATTGCTTGTAATATGATACTTGATGACGTCATTGTGACGTCATTACCAGAAATTAGTTCAAGAGCTATTTTAACTGTGCTATATATAGCCCAATCTTGATTATATCTATCGCGGTTGATTTTTTAGCAATTTTTGAAGGTTTAAAGATCTTTTTATTGAAACTTCCGATCTGATGACGTAATCAATTTTTTTTTGCGCATAGGTCTTGTCTGCATTAAGGTCATCATGTACATGAATTTTGAAGCAAATACCGCAAACTTCGCCACAGACATCAAGTGAAAATGCGTTTTTCGCGTTTTTAACCTGCCGCTAGAGGGCGCTCCAACTCTTCATGGCGTCACCCATTATTTTTTTTGAAAGGTCAATCCAGGCAGACACCAACACCGTTGAAAGCAAGTTCATATCTTTTTCCACTTTCAAATTATTAGGCACTTCCGGTTTCGACCGGCACCCGGAAGGAAGGGTCGCGTGATTTTACGCGCACAGGATAAAAGGAAGAGCGTGTATTATCATGTCGATTCCCGCAAAATTCAAGTTCCGGTCTCTCACGGTTGATTTTATATTGAATTCCTAAGATTAATTTTATTATATTTTGAAGTGACGTCATGACGTAATTACAAAAAAATACATCTGCAATGGGTTGGGCATTCGTGTATTGACAACTGCAATGGGTTGGGCATTCGTGTATTGACAACTGAAGTTCATATATGTTTTCATTTTGACAAACAGTTCCTGAGAAGAATCTGTCTTGAATAAAAAAAAGAATATTGAATTCATACAATAACAATAGGTTTTGGACTATGAGGCTCCACTACGTGGAGCCTCATAGTTCTAGGAGTAACATACGACCATGTACACGTTACCCCTAGAACTATAGTACACAGAGACAAGGATTCTAATTCGACTTGCGACTACTCAGCCTACCGGTAGTGGTAACTAGCTAATTTATCTGCTTCCAGAGCAGGGATTATACTTTTTCATCAACTACCGGGTACAATTAATAATTTGTCACTACAACCATGACAAGTTCCGTTTCACAGAAAATGACCTACAATTGATGCACTATGTGGATATGTACATTTTTCTATACACTACATCATACTCACATTATCCTTATGCCCATCCAGAACATCAAACATGTAATCCACAAAATGGTTCCTCGTGAGGACTCCCTTATGGAACGCCAAAGAGGCATTTAATGTGATCATCGAATCGGTGATGGACTTTTGCAATCGGTGATGCATATTCACGATCGGTGATGGACTTTCGCGATCGGTGATGGACTTTTACTGGTGATGCATATTCACGATCGGTGATGGACTTTCGCGATCGGTGATGGACTTTTACTGGTGATGCATATTCACGATCGGTGATGGAATTTCGCAATCGGTGATGGACTTTTACTGGTGATGCATATTCACGATCGGTGATGGACTTTCGCGATCGGTGATGGACTTTCACTGGTGATGCATACTCACGATCGGTGATGGACTTACGCGATCGGTGATGGACTTTTACTGGTGATGCATATTCACGATCGGTGATGGACTTTCGCAATCGGTGATGGACTTTTACTGGTGATGCATACTCACGATCGGTGATGGACTTTCGCGATCGGTGATGGACTTTTACTGGTGAAGCATATTCACGATCGGTGATGAACTTTCGCGATCGGTGATGGACTTTTACTGGTGATGCATGTTAACGATTGGTGATGGAATTTCGCGACCGGTGATGGACTTTTGCAATCGGTGATGGACTTTATTTGCAATCGGTGATGGACTTTTGCGACCGATGATCAACAACCTGTCACCGATTGCAAAATCCATCATCGATCGCCAAAGTGCATCAGTTATTGAATGTGCATGCCGCTGTGGCTTAGGGTTCTCGTGTTGCCCCTGACGGTGATATTTGTTTACGGTGTTTTTGTGTTTGAAAGTGTCTTTCTCATATGTGAACTGCATTTTTTTAAAAATTAATGTGCGTAAAATGTTTGTTGTTGGTGTATGCCGCTGTGGCTTGGGCTTTGGTGCTGCCCATATTGCAACCGGTAAATGCCCAATCGATGGTATCCGGAATAAAAACACTCCTCTGTGGATGTGGCATAAACACAATGATTTGTTTTTATCCAATAAATGGTAAAAAGTTTTTTGCACCTGATGATTGATGGGTGGGCCATCGGAGACAGCATATGGCGGGGTTATTGGGGGGCCTGACCAGGCATCCAGGGGGCACAGGAATGCAATCACATCATCATCATCATCATCATAAATCCATCTAATAGCCAATCTTGGTATAGATATGTGGGGCCCTCTGGTCACTTAAGCACACTTAAGCGAGCACATGATGGACAGTACACAGAGGAACTTTCCTTGCAAATGTTTTTCCACCACCACCCCTTACATCCGCCAGTTATAGTGCTCCAAGGTTTCAAGAGACTATGATACAAATTACAAGGATTAAAATGTTCGCAATTTTTAGGATACAGACAGCCTGCTCCTCATATTTATGGGGCAAATGGAACCATTCAATCCCTTGTTTTTCTATTTTGTTAGGCTAATTTGATACTTGCCGTAGCGATCTCACTGTGTCACGAGGCTATGATGTTTTCCTGACTGAATGTACATCTGTGGGAAGCTATTTTTTGTTATTCAAGTTTAATTTGCATTTGTTGTCATTTATTGCCACATATATCTCATTTTCATATAGGCCTACATGTATTTCATTTATTGTCAAGCATATTGTGTATGCCGTGGCTTTGAGTTTTTTTGTGTTGCCCACTACTGGTCGGGCCTGGTGTTGCCCCTAAATTGTGTTAATACGGTTACATTGTATATGTTTTATAATATGTCCGTTCTCACTTGCGAACTCCATTTTTTGTAATGTCCGTGAAATGTTTGCAGTTAGTGTATGCCGCTGTGGATTTGGGCCTTTGGTGTTGCCCATATTAACATAACCATAACAATTAACAATTCAAACGGTATAGGCCATATCACAGGTATCCGGAATAAAACACTCCTCTGTGAATGTGGCATGAACAGAATGATTTGTTTTATAATAGGCCTATTCCCTTCGGGAGACACTTTAGCGTCACACACTTAGAGGCAAAATATTATCGTCGCAAATAGACTCGATTGCTCGTGGTCGAATTAGTAAAAATTACCCGGCGAATTAAGGTAAAATTGGAGTTACGGGTCATTAAAGTTGGGGGGAAAATGTGTGCACTAGTTTATGGGAATGTTCCCCAAATAGCCAATTATGGGTTATTATAAGTTATTATTTTTTATCATTATTATTAACATTATTATTATTTGGGTTGATTATCACCATCAAGCAGCTCAGAAGCTGAATTGCACAGTGATTTACAGTAAAAATTAAAATGAATTAAAAATAAACACATTTCACGAGAAATCGAAACACATACAAAATGCACAACAATCCATTATTCTCAAAAACATATACACTCGGATAATAGCAATTAAAATTGTATACATTTGAAAATCCTATGTTGAACTATTGATGAGTCTGGGCTATTTCGAAATCTCTTGGATGAACTGGGATACTCCTTGAGTGTTCTACTCGATCTAAGATATAGTGTGCCAACTTTTTGATTGAGGAAACCACTCATTAAATTTGCCTGATTTAAATGCACCTAGAGCAAAGTTTGTACACATAGTGGTTCTTCTATCATAAAGGTGATCCAGAGATAGAGTAATACGGCAAACTCTTTTGGATCGACTAAATTAGATTGGTCTGTTTGAGTGTAATGCTTGAGTGCCAAACCGGCGATGCGTTTGCTAGGACTGGTCTAACATAGGGTAACAAGTTCTTTGAGTAAAACCAGTTTCTTTCAGTTTCCTGAACATGAATAATTTTCTATTAGCTTTACCAATCATCTCAGCAATGTATTTCTCATGTCCTTAAATTTGAGTCCGAGTATTTTTTTACCAATACGTGATAAAAGGTTTTTGCATAATATGATGATTGATGTGTGGGTCATTGGAGACAGCATATATGGCGGGGTTATTGAGGGGTCTGAGCAGGCATCCAGGGGGCACAGGAATGCAATCACATCATCATCATCATAAATCCATCTAATAGCCAATCTTGGTATAGATATGTGGGGCCTTAAGCACACTTAAGCGAGCACATGATGGACAGTACACAGAGGAACTTTCCTTGCAAATGTTTTTCCACCACCACCCCTTACATCCGCCAGTTATAGTGCTCCAAGGTTACAAGAGACTATACAAATTACAAGGATTAAAATGTTCGCAATTTTTAGGATACAGACAGCCTGCTCCTCATATTTATGGGGCAAATGAAACCATTCAATCCCTTGTTTTTCTATTTTGTTAGGCTAATTTGATACTTGCCGTAGCGCTCTCAAGTGTCACGAGGCTATGATGTGGGAAGTTATTTTTTTGTAATTCAAGTATGATTTTCATTTGTTGTTATTATTGCCACATATCTCATGTTCATGTATTTCATTTATTGTCAAGCATATTGTGTATGTCGTGGCTTTGAGTCTCCGCTG